GGGGGGGGGCTCAGATGTCCCATGACAATGTGGCCCAGCTCCAGGAGAGATCTGGGGAGCAGTGAGGAGGTACTGGTCTGTCCTGGTCTGTCCTGGTCTGTACCCTCAATCTCCAAAGCCCCTCCCCAGCTGCCCCAGGACCCTCCTGGACCCTAAAGCTCCCCAGACCCCCTCAGGCCCCTGAGTTGGTCCTGCTGCCCCTTGAGCATCTGCAGCTGCTGCAGAACCAGGCATTTCTTTGCTCCCCACAGGGTGGTTCCCACCCCCAGAATGGAATCTGGAGGCAGCAGGATGTGCACAGTGCTCCCATTTCCTACAGTGCAAAGGGACTGCAGGGAATGATTCCCCTGCTCTTGCAAATCTGCCAAAACCTGCAGGGTACAGAAGTGGGAGCTTCAGGAATTTGCTGGCCTTGGGAGTGGAGCTAACAGGGTATTGAGAGGAGCATATCCCTCAAATACAATCTCTCTGCATACACAATATCTGTCTGGACAGGCAGATAAAGCAATAATCAGATATATTCTGTATCATGTCTATGGCACATATTCTATAGAATCCATCCTTAGCTGTTGTATGATATATCTATAAGAAATTACAAATAATAAGCAATAATAAGGCAAGTGTCCTCCTTAGGGACACACACTTCAGAAGGGACCTTGCACTTGACCCCCCTCTCTTCAGCTTCGAGCCACCCAGTGCCACAGAGAGGGACAGAGCTCCTGTGGAACATTCTATTCCACTGACACAGAGCAAGGAATAAACCCAAACTATTGCCTGGGTTTGTTCCCTGGGGGTCTCTGCAGCAGCAAGCCCAGCCCCACACTGACTGCTCTGGGCTGTGCAGGCATTTGTGCTTCTGCCTGTCTCACACACACACAGAACAGTCTGGTGTAGTGCTGCCCTCAGGAAACCCCCCCCAACTTTGCTCCAGCTAAAGCCGTGGAATTTGTCTTTGTTTCCCTTGGGTTCAGGGTCAGGCTGTGCCTGTGTCCAGCCCAGAGGCTCAGAAAAGCATTTCTCCCGTCCCACTGCAATCTGCTGCTGCACTGGGAGTGAACAGCAGAGTGTTTCCAGGGGCTCTCTGAACCAACACAAGTGTCCAAAGGAACCAGCACAAGTGTCCACAGAAGTCCCAGTCCTTCATCCCTGAATGAGCTTGTTCAGCCCAGGAAAAACTAAGTTTTATTTCCATGGAAGGAGGTTTTTCCCACTTTAACACCAGTTTAGTTCCAAACCAGTTTCTTCATTTCCTCCTCCCAGTTTCCCTGAAGGACACTGACAGGGACCATGGACACTGACAGGGATCAGAGAGTTTGTCCCTTGGCCATACAATTCCTGCTGTTTGGCAGCACAGGAGAGGTTAATTAGAGCCCAGGTTCCAATCGCAGGGCGTGCCTTGAAGACGAGCTTGAAATCAAACGACTTTCCTGCTGGAGGATTAAATTCAGTCCCCATCACCTTTTTTTGGGCTGAATCTTCATATTTTGGAGTATTTTTTAGCTGAATCTCAACTTTTTGCAGTTTGGGGTGGCGAGGGTCTTCTTGCTATTTCTGAGGGGTTTTTTGCCTGAATCTCGGTGGTTTGGGTTTTCCTGGGCTGAATCTTGGTGTTTTGGAGGTTTTTATGGTCACAGGATGCCCGGTGAGTTCTAGAGATGGACTTGGGCAGGAGGAACCCCCAAGCCAATGCGCTCAGCCCTTGTTTTCCCCCCCATCAGGATTTCTCCTTCCCAAAGCTTGGGCAGATGGAGGAGGAGGCTGTGAGGAAGAGGAAGATGCTGTGGGCCCCCCAGGCAGGTGAGGAGGAAGTCAGTGCCCCTTTGTGCCGGTGTTGTGCTGGCTCTGTCAGCCCAGCATGGCCCCGGCTGCAGGACAACCCCGCTGCCGCCGCCGTCCTGCCGGGGCCGGAGTTGGGGGGATGTCCTTGGCCTTCCCTCTGGGCCAGAGGCAAATCCCCTCCCTGTCCTTCTTGCTTCCTGCCCCAGGCCCCGAGCTGAGGACGGAGAGCCCGGAGGACAAATCCCCCCGTGAGACCCTGGTGGGAGAGGCCGTTTTGAAGGGCTCCACGGCGCAGGAAGGCAGCGGGGAGGAAAAGGGCCGGAGATCCCCCCGCAGGAGGGGCTCCAAAGCCAGCCCAGGGTGCTCTGAGGAGGAAAGACCCAGCCTGTGCCAGGAAGGCGGCCGGAGCTTGAGGCAGAGCTCTGACCTGGTGGTCCCTGAGCAGCCTCCCAGCAGGGAGAAGCCGTTCAGGTGCTTGGAATGTGGGAAGAGCTTCAGCAGGAGCACTGACCTCCTCAGTCACCAGCACATCCACACTGGGGAACGACCCTACACGTGTAGGGAATGTGGGAAGAGCTTCAGGAAGAGCAGCAACCTCTGCACTCACCAGCGCACCCACACTGGGGAACGGCCCTACACGTGTGGGGAATGTGGGAAGAGCTTCAGTGACAGCTCCAGCCTGATCGAACACCAGCACATCCACACTGGGGAACGGCCTTATTTTTGTGGGGAATGTGGGAAGAGCTTCAGCTGGAGCTCCAGCCTCCGCAGCCACCAGCACATGCACACTGGGGAACGACCCTACAAGTGCTCGGAATGTGGGAAGAGGTTTAAGACCAGTGCACATCTCCTCATGCATGAGCAGACACACACAGATGAGAGGCCCTTCCGCTGCACCGACTGCGGGAAGGGCTTCAAGCGGAACTCCACCCTCGTCATCCACCGGCGCATCCATACTGGGGAGAGGCCCTACAAGTGTGGGGAGTGTGGGAAGAGCTTCTCCAGGAGCTCTGCCTTGACCTCACACCAGCGGACCCACTGGTAAGGGAAACTATCTCAGTGCTCCGACTGCAGGGAAGAGCTTCGGTCTCTGCTTCCACCCCGAATGAACCCCCCGACGGTGAGGCAACCCCTGGAGTCCAGTGACTGTCAGTCCATCCCTTTCTACCAGAAAGGGCCAGTCCCCTTTCCCAGGGGCAGGTTCTTACAGCAGAACCCTTCCTGGGAAGTGTGTGGAGATTCCTGCCTTGGCTGGGGACCCCCCAAGGTCAGTCCTGGAGGTTGAGAGCAGAGATCTCCCCCCGAGCATTGGTCTGGGGGAGTTCCAACCATCTCTAATTAAGAATTATTGCTTTTGTGCCAGCTTTAGTAGAATTGCTTCAACAATTGCTTTAGTGTAGAGCACTGTCCTGTCTTATCCTGTACTCCTGGTAGTTTTAGTGTTTCTATTGTGCAGTAAATAATTCTGATAAAGATCTTTTGTCTGATCATTTGTAACCCCAAATAATTAATTTCTATCAGTAGATCTGATTTGCCATCATTAAAACCTGGGGGACAAAAGTGGTTCAGTCACACCTCTGTAATTCCTCTAAACTGCAACTGTTGGCATAATGCAAGGCTGAGATTGGATCCAGCAGCCCCCAGCACCCCACAGGAAGTTGGGAGCTCAGGGGAGCCACCCCCCTTTGCAAACCCCCCTGTGCCCAAAGACCTCCATGGGACCGTCAGACCCACCAGACCACCCTCCCTTTTCCACCCTTCTCCCTGTTCCTCCCACTTTCCCCTTGTCCCCTCAATCCCCAATTTCCCCCTCAAAAAGTTTTGGGGTCCCAACCCCCACTTTTTGCCCCCTTTCCTGTGGGTGCTGAAGGAGAAAATGAGACTGCACACACAGAGTTCCATTTCAGGACTTGTCCTCTGACACTTTTCCGTGTCCCCTTTTATTCCTCTTCTCTCGTGAGCAGCACCTGGAGTTTGTCTTTTATTCCACTGGAATTCCCAGCATGGCCCCAAAGCAGTGCCCTGATCCCTCACATTCCCCTCCCCTCATGTGCTGGCTGTGTTCAGCCAGAAGAGAAAAACACAGGCTGGTCATGCAGGCTGGTTAAAGTGCATTTCCACTTGGAGAAACAACCTTCTCTCTCTCCAAGCACTCAGCCAAGGTCCGTCCTCCCTTTGCATTCCCATGAACTCAGGGCAGGTGCAGAGTGACTCCGCTTGGTCCCACCTCTGCCCCTGTTTTGTTTGGACACGCAGAGTTCACGGCCAAGAGGGCAGGACCCGGCTTCTTGTCTTCGGGCTTGTCCCATGTGCTCCCAGAGGACTTGGAATATTGAAACCAGACAGATTCTGAAACCCCTGCTCCTGGTGCTGCCACAGTGCCCATACCCTGGCACTGCAGGCATGGCCTGCACTGAATGGCCAGTGCAGCAGGAGCCGTGGCTGCGGTAGCTGCCGGGATTGCTGCAGAGATGATCCAAGCAATCAACCATCCACTGAGGATTTCTGGATTTAGCAGTTTCCTTAATTCACTGTATCCTGCATCATCCTCCCAGCTTCTGCTTCCCTGGGAGCCACAGTTTGGCTCTTCTGCCCATGGGAATTATTAATGATGGATGGAGGGTAGATATGTTTTGATCTGTGATACTGTAGCAAGTAGCTTTGACCTTGAGCTACAGCTGTAGCCTGGCAAAGGAACAAGTAAAACATCATTAAGGTAGAAAGTGTGAGAAAGAGAAGAGAAGAGAAGAGAAACAGCTGCAGATAGAAAGATGTGTTTGGACATGAGAAGAGATACCAGCGACCTGTCAGGAGACGAGATGGGGCATATGAACAGAAGCTAGAGACCAATTAGAGATGAAATACGGGCACGTGGATGGGGAAAAAAGGGATAAAAAGAACGAATTTGTTTATAATAAAATCCTTGCTAGCCAACTTGCAGTCTGAGTGCATCTTTAGGCTGCCATCAATTGGTGAACCCCGATGTGATTTATTGCAAAAAGGACCACAGTGAGAGAGAGCGGTGACGGCGGAACTCAGCATAGCCAAAGTCGGCAGATCTGAGAGTTGAAGTCCAGACCTAATTATTTACAGACACCTGGAGAGAAGGTGAGCTGTTGAGAACATAATGGGAGCATAGAATACTACAGAGGAAAAGTCGATTGTGACTGTATTAACTAAAATACTAGAGAAACTTGATGTTAAGTATGAAGAACAAGCACTCTGCACCTTGCATATTTGGTGCAAACAAAATGGGGTAGATACTCAGACAGCATTTTGCATAGACACTTGGGACACTGCCAAGAAAGTACTTTTTGATGTAGCTACTAAGAAGGCAGCAAAGCAGCAGCAAATGCCCTGGGAAGCAGGCAGAGAACAGCAGAGCAATGCGCACAAGGGCAGCCCAGTGGCAGCAGTGCAAGAAAAAAACCAGGCAGGCTGGAGAGCTGCCTTCCCGTATTTCTGCTAACTCGTGTTAACTGTGTTGTCTGTCCAATGCGTCGTTGTGAGCTCACAGTGTTGCTAACGGTACCGTGGTAGTGCGAGTGTGTTGGGAGTTGTGTGTGTGTGCGGGGAGAAGTGAGCATGGGTTTGTTAGTTACTGTTAGAACCCATGATTGGGAGTCCGGGAAATTCCCCTCCCGTTAGAGTGTCTCAGGTGGACGCAGGAGCATAGGAATTTGCTTTGGGATTGTTCAAGCTGCTGCGCCGAGCCGGGCCGAGGGGAAGGCAGTGCTGGCAGAGCGGCAGAGATCCCAGCGACAGGAGCGGCAGCGCTGAGAGCTGTTTCTGCAGAGCCAGCCAGACTCCTTGCGGGGGTCCCCAGGGGTTCCATGAGGAGCAGCCCAGGGAACAGCAGATTGACGGTGAGCCCGGCGGTGGCTGCAGCAGCGAGAGAAGAAACTAAAAATACCTCCAGCAGCTTCTCTCTTCCTCTCTGTCCCACGGGGGGTGGAGGGGGCACGGCAGGAGGGGGGAAGCGAGCGGCAATGGCAGCAGAGGCTGCAGTGAGAGAGAAAAACTAAAAGAGTCTTCTTTCTTTTTTCTGTTACTCTTGGAGAATAGTTATTTAAAACAAACAAACACACACCTTCCCATAGTTCTCATTTCCATCTTTAGCTACTTAGCTCTGCCATTTGGGAATTAGCGAGGGCGGTATGATTCGGAGGGGTACCACAGCTAGCTGAAGGAGAGGAAGCTTGACTTTTCATCTCATGACTCCTGAGATTTAGTCTGTTTCAGGCAAGGTGGACATACCTGAAATAACTCCAGATATCAGAAAAATCTGTAGCAGGGGTGGGAGAACTGTCTTCTTGAAACACCCCCACAGTTAGTGCTGTGAATACAAGTGGCTGAAGCCAGAAGCCTTGCTTTGGGTTAGCATTACACTGATGCACAATATGCCCTTGTTTTGTGGGAGTTGTAGTCCTTGCGGTGAACAGGATGGGACTTTTTGGTTTTTAGTTTTTCTGTCTTCTTTTATTTTCTCCTTTTTCGTTCTTTCTTTTCTTTTTTCTTTCTTTTCTTTTTTCTTTCTTCTTTATTTATTCCCTTTTTTCTTTATCTTTTTTCTTTTTTTCTCTTTTTTCTTTGTTCTTTTTGTTGCTTTTTTTTTCTCATTTTTTCCTGTTTTTTCTTTCTTTTTTTTCTCTAAAGTCTAGACAACTTTAGGAACAAATTTAAAAGCCAACATAGTGCTTTAAATGTAGGATGTAAATGTAAGGAAGTAGTAATGAAATCTCTGGCAAGACTTCACTCATACTGTGCTCAGTAATCCTTACCACATCATAAAAACCTGCTTTCTTAAAAATGTGAGAAGAGAGTTGATCCTAGGAATAAAAGTTATGAGCTGGGAAGACAAGAACAGAAAAGCTCTCCTTCTGAAACAGTCAGAGATAAGGCAAATAACTGAGACACAAATATGAAGTGATGAAAGGGAGTTCACACAAAGAAATATTTTAGAGATATGCAGAAAAATTACAAACATTGCCCCATTTTTACTAATTCTTCCTTATTTTATTTGCTATGATAAATAGCACAACTCTCTGCTTAAAACTGGGAGAATTTCACTCATTAATACACCACAGACTACGGAGAGTTTGTGTGCCAGTTCTGCTTCTCACTTGCTCAGTAAAGCTGAGTAGAACTTCTGATTATACAGAAATCCCAAGTGGCTGCAGACTGGGCTAGAAGGGAGCAAATCACCAGGAAAAACAAAGTCCCAGTGCTGCCTGTGAGGGCAGAAGAGCAGGGACGGTGTCAGGAAAGACATCTCCTGAGAGGAACAGGAACTGAAATCAAGTCCAGTTTTCTTTTTTCTTCTATCAAAGTTATTTGGGAGACAGTTGTGACAGTTTTTCTATAAAATGCAGGTACAAGGCCAAATCTTGATTTCCTTGCCTTTGGCATGACTGACGTATTTGGGCACTTTTTCATTCCTTCACTTCAATTCTATGGCAAGACAGCAGAGAACTCTGGAAAAAGGTTTCTTTAACACAAGTTGAAAATGAAAAGGTTATTTTTAGTTTGAAAAAATTGTGATCTTGGCTTATTTTGCATAAAGGTCATATTCACTCACCTGATGACAGTAAAAAAGCCAACAGACAACATCAGAAATCTCAGACATTAAGGTATGTTTGGCAAGTATCATTACTATGGAAAAGAATAAACTGCTGTATCTTCCCTTTCTCTCTCCTTTTCTCTCTTCAGTCTCAGTGGCCTTTGTGTCTCATTCTCTCAGAATTTTGCAGGTATTTACATTTTCCACACCTTACAGCACAAGGATGTCCCCTTTGACATGGTAGCCAAGCTAATGTTTGCTTGGAAACAAGCTATATGAAGGAAAAATGTTTTAATTATGCAAAGGGTTTCCAGAATTCAGATATAAAATTTCAGATTTTTAAAATTCAATCCCACAGAGTAATTTTTAACTGTACAGAGAACCAGCAAAAAAAGCAAAAGCACTTTTAAGGCCATCATGTTTAAGAAAGATCATCTCTGGTTTTGGCCCCAGCTAAAGACAAAGCAGTGATTTGATTCCCTCTACATTTCAGCCTCAGCAAGATCTTAAAAGAGCCTTC